AGGGGGCAATCCCTGCTGCCCTCCACTGCCCCATGCTGCATGGGGGGCTCTGCATGAGCCCCCTGACCCCCTCTCTCCCCCAGCCACCCCTATGGGTGCCCCACCCGGGCCAGCTCCGTCCCTTTAAGGGAAAGAAAGAAAACAAGAAAAGCCCCCGGACTCACCGCTCCTAGGGCAAGAGCTGGGAGCTGGGGCAGGCACAGCAGCCATTGCCGGGCTGGGAGAGGGGCAGGGGATGGGCCTGTCTGATTCGGAGATTTGACAGCAGCCCAATCTCCGAATCAGATTTGGCCGAATCGATTCAGGACAGTGATTCGAATCACTGTCCCCCGAATTGGCCAAATCCAAAGCGAATACTAGCCGCTTCGCACAGGCCTAGTAATTACAGTGCGTCAAAGTAGAGTCAATTAATCGAGTCTGCTGGAGCGTGGTAATTCCTGCGCTCCAGCAGACTCTAGCTTTTGATGAACTTTAGATAAAGTGCCCCCGCCACCATTTTTAACAACCACTATTTTCAAGCACAGGGACAATGATACATGAGACACTCTGGGCACTTTAATTCGAATAGTTCTCAGAACTGTTGTAATTAAAGCACACCCCGCCCACTCCCAGAGCACATGTATAATTAATAGCTCATACATTTCAAATAGGCAGACAAGGTTCTTTGGGTAAATCTGATGTCTTTTATTAAACCAGCTATGCCCTTAGAGCTTAGACCAACACGGCTACAACCTATACCCCCGATACATTTCAAATTGGAATTCATAGCATGAAAAATGTTCTGACCCATTGTGGTCTTTCTGAGTCCTTTGCAGCAGAAAAATTGCTGTAATAAAAAAAAAAACAAAACAGGAGAAAACTAAGAGCTGACATTTTCTGAGTGGGGCCTCAAGTCTAATGGGTGCTTCCAGTCTAAAAAGATTGAGAATCACTGCTTTAGTGGGACATTAAGGGTTTCAAAGGCACAGGCAAAAAGTAAAGACATTTTGCTAAATCATTTTCATGGTCTTCATAGCAGCTTGTTTAACTGACACCTATCAGTAAAGCTGTTTCAATGGTGTTAGTGGTGCAGCAGAGTCAGAGTCATGTGTAAAATTTGTAGTGCCTGCCTGCTGAAAGAAGAGAGCCCAGTAGTTCACTTACGGAGCCTGTGATGTCATCCGCTGCATTTTAGTTCTGCTTTACAGATATGTGGAGGTTGTTTGTGAATGACTCGGATTCCCTGTAGATAGCTTTCTTATTGTTTTTCTGTTGTTTCTCTCTTTCACAGAAAAGCAGACGATGTGCCCCGAATTCTGAAAGGTGTAATGCGAGTTGGCATTCTGGCAAAAGGGCTTTTGCTTCGAGGAGACAGGAATGTTCATCTGATCTTATTGTCTGCCCAGAAACCTACGATCTCTCTCTTACAGAATATCACAGAGCAGCTGCCCAAACAACTTTCAGTAAGGGTGAATCCTGATACTTCTCTCTGTTTATTAGAGATTCTTTCCCCTTTTCTAAATGACAAGAAATAGATACCCAGAGTATAGAAGAATCTTATTTCTGCTTATTAAAAATTAAGTGTGCCACACCACACGCAAAACCAAATGGATAAAGTGCTCCCTGTCCATAGGAGTTGCAACCAAAAGGAAACATGTTCCAGGGTTTTGCATAATCCACTTCAAATTGTTAGTTTCCTCTATATTAATGAGTAGCATACAGGCTTGGTTGAACTGCTTTCTTTCCTTAGTATACAAGATTCAAGTTTTAGATGGCAGAATATGGATCAGTCTTCAGTTGGTATCCTGTCTCTAATGCAATTTGAAACAATTAGCCTGAAAAGACAGTGTTCAGGAAGCTTTCCTGGCTTGAATGACAAGGTTTTGCATGTCAAGCCTGGGATATATAGAGAACATGATCTCCAAGGGCCTACTGCAGTGGTCCTCAACCTTTCTAGATTCAAGACACTACTCTGCAAGTTTTGGAATTTAGCTGCATCCCATTTCAAAAGTGAATATAAATACAGTATAAATATTGTAATATAAACAGCATATTATTAATTAATGTGTTATTAAATCATTGTATTTCTCTACTATAATATAAAAAGTAAAATAAGTAAAACAGTCATCTCTTGAGATTGCTCCCATAGCTCTGCCCGGCCCGATGCACATTTACTCCCAGCACAGCACAGAATCACTGACTACAGTAATCATCCAATGTGCTATCTACTGATATAGTGGAAATTGATGCTAACCTTGCAAATGTAGTATTAGCCAGTTGCTTACTTGATTAGTAAATTAACTAGTTGTTTTTTTCTGATTTATGCTTGAAGATGAAACAAGTATCCCTTTTTCCCCCACTTTTCACATCCTAGACATTAACTGAGGACAAGTATGAAGTTTCATCTGATGCTGCAGAAGCGACTATAGTCATCTCATCATGCAAGGAACCAAAAATGCAGGTCACAATTTCAGTTACATCTCCCCTCATGAGAGAAGACACTCCTGTTGACAAAGGTGAGTAAATCAGTGAGTCTGAAATTAATTGAGTACATCAGATATTTTCTTAGCCTTTAAGTACATAATCATTTCAAATAAGAGAACCATGGTGACTTAGCAGACACTATTTGGTCATTTGTAGGCCTGTGTGAAGGTCATTTGGTCATTTGTAGGCCGGTGATTCGAATCACTGTCCCGATTCGATTCGGCCAAATCTGATTTGGAGATTTGGCTGCTGTCGAATCTCTGAATCAGCCAGGCCCATACCCTGCCCACTCCCCCAGCCCGGCAATGGCTGCCCTGCCCACCCCAGCTCCTGGCACTTGGGGGGAAAAAAGAGCCCCAACTCAGTGGGTGCTGCCAGGTGAGGGGGGCAATCCCCACTGCCCTCCACTGCCCCACACTGCATGCGGAGCTCTGCACAAACCCCCCAACCCCCCCTTGCTCCCTCAGCCCTCCCCCCTGCCACGGGTGCCCCACCTGGGCCAGCTCCAGCCCTTTAAGAAAAATAAACCCTGAAACCCCCTCCAGACTCACTGCTCCTGCTGGTAGGGGCGATCCTTGCTGCCCCACACCATGGGGGGACTCTGCACGAGCCCCCCCAAAGCCCCGAGGCTGCTGCAGGAGTGGTGCGTTCTGGGGCTTTTCTCCGTTTTTTTTTTTCTTAAAGGGTTGGAGCTGGCCCAGGCAGGGCACCCGTGGCGGGGGGATTCTGAATTCTGAAGATTCAGAGAGCTTTGAATCGATTCAGACCTTTAAATTGGTCCCCTGATTCGATTTGGATTCGGAAATTTGGCCACCGAATCAGGCTGAATCTCCTCCAGATCGAATCGCTACCCAAAGCTTTGCACACCCCTAGTGATTTGGATACTACTGTCACAGTGCATCTAAACATGCAGTTGATACAAAGCAGCAAACTCTGGCAAATATCATACCAGAGTTTATTGTTCCTGGATGCCACATTTACACATGCGCCTGGAAACACTGCATATTGAGCTGGGTTACAGCAGTCCCAGCTACAGGGGCCGTGGGGGGTCAGCCTGCCAGCCTGGGGCTGTTCTGACCCAGCTCAACATGCTGTGGAGGGGCTGGCTGGGGCACAAGGGTACTCCAATACGGAGCTAACCAGAAGGCAGCCCACAAATGGAAGCACCCTCCTGACCCACCCAGCCTCATCGGTGTCTGCATGCGCACTGCTGTGTAATAAATAACACCGCTGCAGGATAGTACTTGTGGTGTTTATTGGTTTACTGTGACCTAGATGGGTCATGCACGTAGATGCAGAGACTTTACTGTGCAGCTAATTAGGCAACTACAGGAAACGTCTTATATAGATGCACCCTCAGAGTATTTTCACAGTACTTTCTCAGACCAGAAAGTAGAATTCTCCTAAAATTCTCTTAAATTCTCTTAAATTTTTAAAATTTTCCTAAACCTCCTGGGAGTGCTGGTTGGAGTTAGTTATATTCAAGATTTGCTAGTTTTAAAACTTTAGTTTTAAAACACTGTTACCTTCTAGTGGAGACCATACTCTCCACTTACCATCCTTTCTGCATTCACTGTTAAGTCTTTGGGTGTGATTTCTATCTATGCATTGTGATGCTGTTTTGATACTGTTACATTAAAAAAAATTAATAATAGTACCACAAATGTAAAATCTTTTAATACAAATTAAAATAATAAATATTAAAATAATATTTAAAAAAATACATTGTTTATCCTGTGGTCTTTTCATGCCTCTGGGTCATGAACATGTGGGACTAAATTATGAAAAGGAAATGTATTTTTCCCTCTTAGAAGAAGCAACAGAATCTCAGCCTGATCCCTGCGATGTTTTGAGCCAGCATAAATGTCTAGAATCGTTGGCTGCCCTCCGTCATGCTAAATGGTTCCAGGTAAAGAGCTTTTCCAAGTTGGCACAAATTCCTTGAGATGTGTTGTGCAGTTTACTACATGGATTTACTAGTTTGACAAAAGGGAGGGAGAGAAAGAGAAAGTAGAAAAGGTGCAGTTTTGCGCTGCTAAGCTGACCATGTTTGTCTAAAGTGAAAGCAACATAATTGAGATGTCCAAACACACATGTTCTGACCTCCGCACAGTGCATTCAAATAGAAATATTTCCAGAGTATAAAGGATACCATTGCTTTTTTAATGCAATTGGTAAAAGCAAATCCTGTGAACCAAAAGACTGTCCTGGGATGTGTGCTGTTTGCCTGAAGCCCTTTTTGTCTTTCTGTGATTACACAGCTTGCTGTGTTACAGATTCTTGTCTTCTTTGCTTATATGTTCTACCATAGCAGTGTTTGGAATGACAGTACTGTATTACATCTTTTCAATAGAGCAGATGTTCAGGGAGTGTTTCTCTTTGTAATAGCCTAGTTATTTAAGATCTAAGGTCTTTAAGAAACATCTAATATCTAGGTTTTAAGGTCAAAAAAAGTTAATACTTTTGTCTTGTTGTTTTGATGACTTGGGCTTTTATTGTCTTATGTGTTTTCTATTAGCAGACATCTTGTTTCTTTTCATAAAGGCTAGAGCTAATGGTCTGCAGTCTTGTGTAATTATCATCAGGATTCTGAGAGACCTTTGCCAGCGTGTACCAACCTGGGGGGCACTACCAGACTGGGTAAGGAGAGTGATGGCTCTTCTGTCACCCCCTTTGTTTTGGTTATTATTGTGTCTTAATATGTAAAATCCCCAACAGCATGACTGTAAACAATGAGAAGTCAGATGTGTGTTTAGGGCTCAAGATCCTACCATAACTAAATCCATTGCAATTAAAATGTACTATACTGTTCTTAAAAAAAAACAAACCATAAAACACCAAATCAGCTAGGTACTCTATAGACGCACACTTACTTCCTACAGAGCACATTTGGGAATCCTATTCCTGTTAAGTAAATAAACACTCAGTGGAGAATCTTATTACTGTCGAAACTCTTGACCACCTGGATTTTATTATTTTTTTCCTGTAAACTATACAATTATGGTTACAAAACCGTCTTCTAAAGGGCTGTTCCTGCAGTGCCCTGGCATTGTGGATGGCCTCAGTGAATACTGAGATATGGATCCAAGCAGGCATTCCCATTTCTTAGATCCTATTTAGGTACTTAAAATCCCTTTCACTGGGGTTTCCATGGGAGTGTTGGTACCAAAATGCTGCCTTGGATCTGGCCCGAAGAGTATAATTCTTAGGAAAAATGAGAGCTAGCTTGGGAAAGAAACTCTGCTAGGTCTTAAATAGCAGCCTCCAACCCTTCTAAATGGCCATGTTCAGTAAGCCACTGGTAGAGAAACAGTTTGCTTTCTTGAGACAGAAGCACATTTGTCTTTACAATGAGCTTTCACCATTATCCTTACAGCTGGAAGTTTGTGTTAACTATAGGACTGAGACTGTCTCATTATATGTCTTTACATGTTACAGCATGAGGTGGTAGTATTAGACATGTGTTTAACATATGATTACACAAACGTGAAGAAAAACTTTTGGAAGAGTGCCAGTCAGGACCTAAGGAAGGGCAGTTTGTTCCCAAAAGTTTGTCCAACAGCTCTCCCAACTATTCAGTTAGTCCAATAAAAGATATCATCAAAGCAGCCTTTCTTCTTGCATAATTCCTAGACCAAACAGCTACAACACGCCAAGCCTACTGCACTATGAGTAAGCAAGCAAGGGGATTTTCCAGGAGCTGACGTATTTTCATGGGGCGCAGATATGTAATACATTTATGCCATTGTACTTTACATGGGTTTATGCACTGATATTAGTTATTCTAGAGTCTGGAGTGGACAGGTAACCGTCACCCTGGAGGTAGATACCTGCAGTGCCTCACCTTTTTGGGGGACAGGGGGAGTCATTAATACAGTGTTCTTTTGGCATACCATGTTTTTGAAAGGCAAAATGAAGAAAAAAAGATCTTTCCTTGTAATAAGTATCTGAGTAGCAGCAGGTTGGGAGCTGAGCCTGTTCATGTTCTAGTCCCTGTGGATGGTGAGAAAACCGGCCTTTTGTAGAGGATACAGCATGACTGTTTTTTAGAAAAGTCATAGTTGCTTTGCTTGTGTTTTCTTAATGAAAGAGTCAAACTTTGTTTCATCTTCTCTGCAGGCAATGGAACTTCTTGTAGAAAAGGTTTTAAGCAGTGCATCAAGCCGTCTAAGACCTGGTGATGCCATGCGACGAGTTCTCGAATGTGTAGCCACAGGAACACTCTTGATGGGTCCGTTTTCAACTAATATTTATATTGGTTCTCCATAAAATCTCAGGAACAGCAGTTCATGTCCTTTGTATTAACATCTCACAACCCATACCTTATCTTTTATGGTTTCCTGTTTAACTGATGTTGTGGCATGACAGTGGAAATGCAGTATATTGGCACACTGCTTTGTCTACAGCATGGTACCTGTAACTCAGACATATTGGTAGCTTTGCTTTTTTTCAGAAAGAGGAGTTTATACTTGGAGTTCTTGAAAAGATTTCAGCAATTTTGCCCCACACTAACTGCTCCCTAAACTTTCCAGAACTTAATATGATTTTCATTAAAACTTGTAAAAAATATAATTGAAAAAATATTTCAGTTTAAACCTTTGTACAGCAGCATCGTGCCAGTCCCTGAGAATCTCAAGGTGAAACCAGCTTGTCGGCTTTTATTGAGCAAGACAAATGATATGCAAAATGTAACCAAACAGCAAAACTAGGGAAGAGATGTGTCGGTGATAAACCATAACTAGCGGCACAGCTAGGAATTGATAACGTGTATTTTTTTTCATTAGTTTCCCTTTTTAAACCTGGCCACAGTAAATTTATTGGTATCATGGTATCTTTCTTATCCCTTGTATTCAGATGGACCTGGACTACAAGATCCCTGTGAGAAAGACAAAATGGATGCTTTAGAGACAATGACCAGTCAAGAACGAGAAGATGTTACAGCCAGTGCACAGGTAGAAAAGGACAGCAGTCATATATAAAAGCTTTGAGAAATAAGCTTCAATAAAAACATTGTCTAAGGAGAGGTGTGTCATATATGTGGGTATGTGGGGTGAGTATATCCTTTTGCAGTTACAGATTTGAAACTACAGAGTCCATGCCTGCATTTGTAACACTAAAAAGACACATGGCAGATTTCCATGTGTTTGAAGGCTGCATCTATTGGTTTGGGGGTTTTTTAAATAAAGGAGTATCTCAAAGTAAACTACATTTCATATTGAAGGGTGAGGTTTTTTTTAAAGAAAATTAGTCCAGTTCTTTCAGTGTTGCGCTTGCCTCTGTGCAACATTTTTCTGTCCCTTGTGGGTTGGAAGCATTGGTGGGAGACATAACCAAGATGGGAAACTGACTGTTGGGAGAACAGTGATACTCAGGGTGATATTCTGTTCCCTTCCTGGTCATCCACATGTCCAGATCTGGTTGTTTGCTTGGAATTTCTGCTCATCTAAATGCCAAAATGCCTCATGCACCTCAGGAATTCTGCTGCTGGATGCATAAGCTTGCACGCCCACATAGTCATCCATGTATGTACATGGGCAACAAAATATAGCAGGAGGGGACAATAGACTTCCTGTCGTTTGGCCCCAGTAGTTCAGTAGTTGGAGCATGCACCTAGGAAGCTCAGTTCTAGGCCCTCTCCTTTGCCCAGGGTTGTTTGAACTTGGGTCTCTCTGACTTTTCAGCAAGATACCACACCACAGATGAAGCATTATCCAGTGCAGTCTGTGTCCAGGAACAGAATTCCTACCTGTAGTGTTAATGGCATTTTTGGTATGTAGACAACCAAAAATGCCATGTAGATGACCAAGTCTGGATACTTGGATGACTAGGAACGGCTACCCGTCCTGTAACACAAAATTATTGCCAAATGCATAAAGCAGATATATAATTACAATTATGAAGGTATACGTTCTTTGATCATTTTGTTATAGTCATAAGCTTGCAAGTAGTGGGGGGAAAACTTCAACTATAAAATAGTTTGCATATGTCTTTGTAATGCTATTAACTTTGTTGATGATAGGGTGGGGTAGCTTATATTTGCCAACATTAAAACTTGAATTAATTATATATTATATAAAGAAGAAAACTGGAGACTGTATGTTTTGTGCTCCATATCAAAACCTACCCCTTTTGGCCAGTGGAACAATGGTATTGGTACTAATCAAGGAGAAATACTTGGATATTGTCAGTGTGACAGGGCACTTAATGCACACCTCTCACTTTACAAGGAGAGGAAGCTGCAGAGAAGACTTGGATGGCAATCGAGGGGTGTCACCTGACTAGCATGTAAGGTCAGGGCTTGAGGTGATCCAGCAGTCTAGCCCTGAGAGCCACAGAGAGAGGAGCTCCTGGGCAGCAGGGCTGCAGCAGGACTCCTGGGTAACAGCTGAGTTGGGGTAAGCAGCACTAGAGGTTTGTGGACAGGACTTAGGAGTAGAGGAGGTCCGAACAGGCTCAGGAGTAGGGCCAGAGGCCTGGGAGCAAGGTCAGAGCCCAGGAACCGGGCAGAGATTGGGGCCAGGGGCCCAAAGCCTGGAGAGGGGCACAGGCATGGCAAAGAAGCCCAGAGATTGGGACCAGCACCCCAAAGCTCAGGAGGGGGCAGAGGTAGGAGCCTGAATGGGCAGGACACAGTGCCTAGGAGTAGACCGCATAGGTGAAGTGCCTGGATAGGGAATACAGGCAGAGGTGCGGTACTCAGGAGTAGCCATGAGAAGCAAAGTGCCCAGGTGAAGAAGGCAAGCCTGGAGTAGCCAGGGTTGGCAAAGTGCCTGGACAGGGAGGCACAGTCACAAGGCTGAGGCCATGGCCCAAGGGGGCAGTTGATCGATGTGATTATTAACACCTGCGAGGCATGGGTGTGGTATAAGAGGCAGTTGGAGCCACATAATTAGCTCTTCAGGCAACAAGTATGGACACCTGTATTCATGAGAGGAGTTCTGACTTGGGAAGCCCTGGGACAGCCTCCGTGTTTCTAAAAGATAGCATCAAGGTGTGGCAGACAAGAAGAAGGGGAGAGTGCCCAAAGACAGCCAGACGAGACAAGGGCTGAGCTGCCACCAGGGGGTGTCACACCACCTTGGGGACCAGCACTTGTTACACTCAGGCAACGTTATGCAATTTTTAAAAGTGAATAATAGAATTTCTTGTAAACCGGCCAGACCATGCTAAGAAACGGTAAACATGGTTTTGAGTTTGACCAAGCTTGCCTGAACCCTGCAGGGTTGCAGGCTGAACTCAGATACTTGATGCAAATATTCAGATTGATCCTGCTTCTGAGTCATGTATAGCCTGTGAAACACTCTTAGCTCTCATCCAGGTAAAACACTGAATTTTCATCTTCTCTGCTGATATGTTGTTTCATGAAGGAGTAAATTACCTCAGTTTAGTTTCCACTTACTGTGGGATAGATCAGAGTGGGCCAGCAACACGTTAATCCTCTCCTCATTTACTTCATCAAATATGTTCACCAGTCCACACATTGGTTCCTTGTGTTGGAAGATTGCTACTTTTTTATTTGTATTCTTTCTCTTGCAAATTCAGATACAGTAGTTTGCAGTTCTTAAAGGGCCTGGCTGAAAGCCCATTACAGTCAATATAAAGACTCAACGACCTTTGGATGAGTCAAAATTTGGTTTGATTTTTCTGTGGAATAGACTACCTTAGCTTCCAGTGACTCAGCATGCTTGCTTAGGGCCTCATATTCATGTATCAAATATAGATACAAAGAATATGTTGTCATCAGTAACTATTAATTCCAGGCTGAATAGTGTGTGACATTAAGGGCTGCTGCACACAGAAAGCATTGCAAACTGATGTACTATCAGCCCTGCCCTGCCTACTACTATCCTCATACGAGTTGGATCCTTAATATTTCTCCTCCTTCTTCCCCTAGCATGCTTTAAGAATGCTAGCTTTCAGGCAGATACACAAAGTACTTGGAATGGACCCTTTGCCACCTCCTAAAAATAGACTTAATGAACGCAACAGAAAAAGGAGACGAGACGTCAGTGAGACGACAGAGGGCGAGGGCGACGGGAAGAAAGACAAAAAAGAGGAAGATGACAGTGATGCCTAACCACTGCTGTGGCAGTCATCAGGACAAAGTTCACATTGCTTTAATTTTTAATATAGAAGCTGCTGTTTCGTCTGACATTTGACAATTGTACTATTTTTTTCCTTGAAATAATGTATTGTAGATGTTTTAAATGGTGCTTAAATCATTGCTGAAATTGCATCATTCCACAGTGGTAAAGTTGCTCTGGCAACAGTTCTTCTATTATGTCCCTTCCTAGCCACCCCACTACAAAAGAAAGTACCCATAGCAGAACAGGTGGACTAAGGCAGGCATTTTTATTTAAATCTGACATCTCTTGTAAGCTCATAAATGCCCCATTACATGTGAAGCAGGGGTGTCAAACTCAGCTGCTATCCCAGGCTGGATGCAGATCCAGAAGCTCTGGCTCCCGCCATGTGCCAGAGCCAGAGCTGTTACTGCTGTCATGCCATAGTGGCAGCTCCAGCTCTGCCTCCACCACAAGTCACACAGCAGGGTGCTGGCAGCTGGGGGAGGTAGAGCCATGGCAGTGATGACAGGCAACACAGCTGTGGTGGGGGCGACTGGAGCTCTGTCAGCCCTTGCTTGCTCTCCTGCCACTGATCACCAGGCCCACTGAGGTCTAAGAGCCCCAGATTCTGCAGCAGTCTGCTTCCCCAGCCTCCTACCAGGCATGCCCCCAAACCTGCTGGTAGCCCAGCAGGCTAGACAGAGGAGGTCTGTGGGCTGGATTTGGCCTGCAGGCTGCATGTTTAACACCCTTGATGTAAAGAAAAGCACAGGATTATTGTATTAGTGTCTTTAAAGATGCTTCCTTGTTCACTTTAGATTTTCAGCCTCAAATTGGAGTACATTTCTAACCTGATCTAGAGTGTCTGAATGGACAAAATTATGGGGGTTGGGAGGGGCTCTTGCACTTTATGAGCTCCCATTTTGGAGCAGTACAGAGGTACATAAGCCACTTTCTTAGCTATTTTGGGGTGCGGAAAAAAAGCCAACTTATAAGTGACAGTTGGAAGTGGAAATGAACCTGCAGAAATAGCAGAGTATTAAATATTTAATTGCCTTGGATTTGCAGTTCTCCATTAGACACGGTATGCTTTAAAACATCTCTGTAACATGCTACCTAAAAATTAAAAAATAATAGTTTCTCTTGTTTAGTACTGTGGTTAAAAACTTTGCAGTTTTCTTTAGAGAGTGTTAAATATCTTCCAGCAGAAATGACAGCCTGACTAAGTGCCACATTAAACCATCAGAAGTGGTAACAGAATCAGAGTGCTAACTTTCTAATACATGTTGTTTAATAGTATCACCTAACCACAGGGAGATTCTCTGTGTCTCAATGAGTGCCTTCTACAGAGAAGTGGCCAGGACTCTCGCAATGAAAAGCTATTCCGTAGTGTCTGAGGACCTTTCCTTTCCTTTCCTTTCCTTTCCTTTCCTTTCCTTTTCTACAGTTTTAACTCTTGTCAGTTTGTGCAGGCAGGAATCTCTCAAAAATAGAAAATTCCCAGGCACTGATGGACTTACTGTTGTAGTCTACCACTTCACAAAACCTGACGCTGAGCAATTGAGGGTGTCTTTAATTCCATAGAGGGAAATGGGGATAAAGGAATTGGTCTTGGCCTTTGGGTGGAATTTTCTCACTCTTTAGATGCCTAAATGGCACTTAATAGCTGTGTAAATGGCATTTTTGGCATGTATGCACAGTGTGCAGTTCTGTTACCAATGTGTCTGCATGGCTACCAAGAGTGCATAGTAGTGTATGCACTAGCCAGGCAGCAAACACACCCACATCCTGGAAAAAGCAAGGCATTATTGTGTTATAATCTCAGTAGGTAAGGGGTTAAGGCATTCTTGCAGGAAACAGGATGATGGGTTCTAGACCCTCCCATCATCTGTGTCCCTCTGATGTCATCACATACTGCTTTAAAACACCACATGCCTGATTAGGCATTTTCCAAGCTTTCCTCCAGCAGCACCCTCAGATGCATCCCGTCCAACCCCATGGACATGTACACGTTCAGTTTTTCTAAATAGTCCCTAACCTGTTCTTTTGCCACTGATGGCTACTTACCTCCTCCCCAAACTATGCTGCCAGGTGCAGTAATCTGGGAGCTGACATTGCCTGTGAAGACTCAGGTGAAAAAAGAATTGAGCACTTCAGCCTTTGCTGCATCCCCTGTGACTAGGTGGCCTCCCCCATTTTGTGAAGGACCCACACTTTCCCTGATCCTTCTCTGATCCTCCATGTGGATACTTAGGCATCTATACTGCAAGGGTAACATAATCAAATTGTGCATAAGTGCCAACAATGTCATTTACACAGTTGGTGAGTGCCCTATAGGCACATAAAGTGTAATGAATTTAGGCCTTGGTGTATAACCAGCAAGCCCTGCTGGGAAAGCTGAGAGCCTAGAGCTGGACAGGCCATACTATTCGAACGAAGCTGTATGTGGCAGGTTTCTCAGCTGGTTGCACAATGCATTTGATAAGAAAGACCTTTCTTGATAGTATTGTGATTTATTGTCACTTAACACAGTTTGTTTGGTTATTTTACCTTATAAGTGTTTAAAGGACAGCCTGTAATGTGGCTTTAACATTTGATTGTCTTTGTAGTGCTATCCAGTTAAAAGGAGACAATTTTAAACAAATAAAGGAGTGCTATGCTTCCATTTTCTGTGTAATGTGTAGTGTTTAATCAATGAATGCTGCAAGAAGGTGCTCACTAGTCAGTTAGCTGAGAGCCTGGATAGTGATTGTCCCAAACATCCAGCACCCCAATTCCTTAGTCAAATCCTCACTAAAACTTCCTGGTCTAACTCATGGCACTTCACAGCAAGTCCCATGAGGTAGACCAAGGGCAGTCAATTATTTTGGCTGGAGGGCCGCTTAACAAGTTTTGGTGAGTTGTCTAGGGCTACAACAGTGGCCCCACCACTTGCCAGGTCCCACGCCCCCTGGTTGCCATCTTGGGACTGGAATTCCCACTCTGTAACTCCTGACCTAATCCACTGGAAGTCCCTAACCTTGCCCCCTTTTGGGAAGGGGGTTTGCCATCTTGGAACCAGGAAAAAAAAGATACACTAAAAATCAAATATCCACAATTACATATTTTAATTTAATTTAATTTTTTTAATTGTCCTGATTTGTGTGTGCTTGCATCTCATGTATAAATAAGTGATTGCAAAATAGCTCAAAATGAAGTCTTACTCTTGTATATTTTGTGGGGAGGAGGCTGGAGAGGTGGGAGTGTATAGGGTTTGTGATGGGGTGTGGGGGGTGGGTATGGGGTTTGCAGGGGACTGTATGTGTGGGGATGTGTGTGTATGTGGGGTATAGGGGTATATGTGGATGTGGGTGGGTGTGTATGGGGTGTTTGTGGGAATGTGTGTGTGTGTGTGTGGGTATGGGGTTTGTGGGGGGCTGTGGTATGTGTGGAGGGGGTGGGTGGCTGGGTGTGTGTAGGTGGGTGCATGTGTGTGGTGGGGTATGTGCACATAGCAGTGAGCAGGGCTCCCACCAGAGGTGCACGTGTGTGTGTGTGTGTCAGGGGTGTGAGGGAGGGTGTGGGTGGGTGCGGTGTTTGTAGGATGTGTTATTGTGTGTGGGAGAGGGTGTATTTGTGGGGTTTGCAGGGAAGAGTTTGTGGGTATGGTGGGGTGTGCATGGGAGCCCCCTGTGCACACACCCCTGAGCTAGTCAGCACCTGCCTCCGTCCTGCAACAGCCCAGAGTTCTCATGCCCTGCGGCACCTCCCCACCACTGCCAGCAGTGCACAGCCCTAGCACACCCCACACCTGCTCCACACTGCCCGGCCCTGCCATTTCCTGCCTCCCACTGGGCATGCAGCATAGCTGGGGTGGCTCTGCAGCTGGGCTGCCTTTCTGGGCAGCCCAGGTGGCGGCAGCTCCTTCTGGCTGCCACTGCCAGTAGCCCTATCTTCACGATGGGGATCTGCATGCGCAGGCCCAACACAGAACGCCCCATGCCTGTTCTGGACTCGCTTGCCCAGGCTCAGCTGCCAAGCAGAAATATTGCTTGGCATAGGTGGAAAAAAAGCAGCCCTTCCTGTATTAAAGGTTCAGAGTGTCACAGGATTGGGCCCGTTGCACTTGTGTTAGGTCATGACTGTAGAGCACTTTCAGTGGCCAGATCAGGCAAAAATTATAAGTTGTCTGCACCTTCTGTTTCTAAAAAATGCCATTAATAATTTTGAATCTTCAAAAGTAATTCAATATTTTAATCTCACAAGGCCTTTTCCAGGATTACTGATTAATGAAAAATTTAATTCCAGGCTCACAATTCACTACTAAATAGGTCTCAGGTGTATTTCTATAGAAGTTGTGGTGTTTATATTTTTTTTCCTTTGAATATGCTGGGAGAAGAATTATAACACTTCTGCGTCTCAGTCTCGGAGACTGATACCTCTAGAGGAGGTATCAATAGAACTCCTTAGTACAAGGGTTTAGGTTTATATCTGTGAAAATGGATACACGGTTTGCAGTTTGTGATGAATTCCTTACAGCATGGATTCAGGACTTTGGCCCCAACCACCAAGAAATCACTAATATGGGAGTCTTGGCATCTGAGGGTCTCTCATAGCACTGGAATGATTTGAATCAATAGTGAAGTGCTAGAGAAATGCCTTATTTAGATTGCTGTTGGTTTGTAAGACACTTCAAGGAATAGCAGCAAACAAGGAAAAGATCCTACTTGTACATTTACCTTCACAACATGACTTACCTTTTCTGGGGCTACTAGGCTACATCTGTTTTCTCCTCCTTTTTATGCAGTATTACCCAGCAGCATCATTTTGATGCAGAGGGTTTCGGCTTCCTCTTACCCAAGCTTTGTGACAATGTGGGAGAAGAATAAGGAAATGAGGTTGCAATAGCATTATTTACATGTTGTTTGAAGACAACGGAGTGCAGAAGGAAGCCAAGGGGGGCATTTGGGTTCTGATTCCTATGCGATGTCAGTGCCCACAGTCTGACAGTTGTACATGGAAAAAATTAAAAAAGGAAAGTAAATCTTCAAAAACTGCCCCTTGTTAATTTAAGGCTGGTTCATGCCATTTTAACATGCATTATACTGTGGGTCTTTGCAAGCCAGAGGGCACATGCAGGACTTTTAGAAAGAGTTTGTACGCTCAAATAAAGCATGGTTTCAATTTGGAGGTCCCATCTCACTGGCATTGTTTAAAACCCATGTTAGATTATTGTGTGTGTTGTATTCAATGGACTTCTTTTCCTTGCCTGTTATGTATGCTCTTTGCTGCTCAGTTAAAATATTCAAGAATGACGGATTTACAGCAGTGTAGGTTTTTAAAAACTATTCCTTACTTGCTAGAAAGAGACGATCTTTCTTGCCTTGCTCCAAAAAATTAACCCTCCTCACCTGAAAGTAGAAAATGTAAAGGTTAGAATTTAACATTTCAGATCAGTCACGTGCTGTGTTGCGGTACTACACTTCTTCATTTTGTTAACAGCACACACTGTTGGTGGGAAATTAAACATCCTTTCTAGTTTGATCTTTTTGATCATTTAGTAATGTTTTTTTTTAAAAAAAGACTGTGATGAGGTTTGTTTTTGTGCAAGTTGTTTTAAATAAAGGTATGGCATTATTTAACCACTGCTGTTCTGCTTGCTTGATGCTCTGTTGGTAACAAAAACAAGCTCCTCTCCCAGGGTAAAACCCAGTGACATCCTTCCATACAGTTATACATCAGAACTTGCCTAACCCCACTGTAAAGACCTGATCCTACATTGTGTTGTCTTCCATGATGTGCTAAATACCATATATCACTAGTGTCATTCGTGGGAGATGAGGGTGGTCAGCATAGCATAGGAAGCCTTGCACCTTACCTGGATCAAAACAGAGGAGATGGCACAACAGTTTCTCATCTATTTGAAGAGTTTTCCTAGTAAGAATTGGGAAGTAAAAGCAGTCACTGGAATAATAAAGCACAAAAAGCAGGACCACTGTCACAAGATCACAACTCAAGACCATTAGTTGGGTGCCTAAAACTAACATAGGTTATATAGACTGAGCAACACGACCTGGAAAGTCTATTAGTGGATCTAGAACAACCCAGCAAATTGTTCTGGTTTGGAGTAGTGATGTGCAGCAATCATGACACAGAGCTCAATGATCTGTAGCAGAATGCTGAACTACTACACCAGCCCCTGGGTAGTTATGGAAACATGCGGTTGATTAGTAACGGCTATGTCTGCATGCTCCTGTTGTATGCTGTTGTTGGGATCCAAGTGGTGTGAGGCCATTTTTAGCTCATTTCTATGGTTACTTTAGCAGGCAGATATGACAATCACAGCTCCTTCCCCAACAGCAGCTTCCTATCCCCTTTTCAAGCAGCTGAAGTCACCTCTGCCCCTACCCAGTCTTCTGGTAGTGTTAAACTAATGTTGTAGCCATGACAGTCCAGGAATTATGCAAGACAAGGATTTTTTAGAGGTGATATCTTATTATTACAACCATGCATTTGGTCCAAAGTTAGACAAGCTTTCAAATGCAAGGCATTCTTCATCAGGCCAGAGTTTGCATTTCAAAGCATTTTATTAGCATATAAGGACAGTTAGAAAGGGAGTTTTCCAAGCTCTCACAAATGCCAAGAGATTTCCTGACCCAAAGGAACAAGGACAGAGCTTGGAGAGGAGGAAAGAAATTACAATGCTGAAACAGTGCGTGGTGGAGCAGACTTGATGACTGGAGTGTGGTTGGATAGTAATGAAGACCTTTGGGTCATTGAACTAGATCGTCAGCCTTAGAAACATAGATCAAGTTTGTTGCACCAGCACAGCAAGATCTCCATCCCACGCAAAACTCACTCCCTCATTCAGGTGTAAATTCATTGAAAATATTTACTTTAAACCTATGCTGGCTTTTTTTTTTTCTCTTAAAATTTCCCTCTCTCCTAACAGCCAGCTCAGCTCCAGCAATGCCAGGATTTGTGGCAACGCACTGGGGCAGACGTTTTCAGCAGCGTCACAGAGATCTGCTTCCACTAGGTATTATATGGTGGGGAAAATTTCAGGTGCTGCCTGGAGCCTCTGCTGCTAACACACCTTTACACAGCCATTGCTGAACCTGCAAGCTTGGCTGCAGTGGTGGGAAGCATTTAGTAAATACTTCCCCCCCACCCCAAGGATAGGTATTACAGGAAGCTTAAAATGAGATTTCTTTTTTGTCCCTTCATTAGAATTCTTCATCCCTCATGTATTCAGTTGTAGTTGGTGCAAAAGAAAATAATAATTTGAGAATGGAAAGGAAACTGCAACTTTGTGGGCAGGCCTAGGGACTAACTAACCTAGCCCTGTTGCAAGGCTTTCTGCTTTTGATTGCCAGTTTCCTGAGGAAATGCATCATGCATAAAATCTTTAACAGTGGTATAAGTCTGGGGGTTGTTTCCGGCCTAATTTCAAAGAATTTAATTGCACAGTTAACTTCAGATTTTAAAGAGGGTGGGTGGGCAGAGGGAACATGCAGGCCTGGTTGACTTCAAGCAAAAGAAAAGTCAGCGCCGCAACACCATTTTATAGCAACAATAGTACCTCGACATACAGTTTTATTATCAGGTATTCCGCAATCAAATCAGATGGAACCATTTTTGGATAATTAGGATCTATGTCCAGCCTTGCAACTCAGCCATCGTGATTTCTCTTCCCATGCTTTGTTGGAAGGCTCTCAATCTGTTTCTATGCTGCCCATTGCAGCTTCTCCTTCCCAGGTCCCACCTTACAGTCTGATCATACGAAAATGCTCCACTGCTTCTGGCACATCTATTCTAGCAGCTCCCCCTTCCATACCACTGACCTTCGCTTTCACCTGCACATTGCAACGTGCCTAATTCCTTATGAACTTGTGTCCAGCTTTCAAGTTGCTTTTCCCTTTTGTTTTCACTTTGGCTGACAGGTGAGGCTGTTATCCTGTGACCTGAGATCCAGGTCAGGGTTCCTGCATGACCTTGGCTGAGTTCACTTCACTGGTCATCTGTTTCCTTTCACACATCATGGAGCCACTCAGGGTGTGGACAGATGTAGCATTTTGAAACACTTGGGTGACCATACATCCCATTTTCACTGAAACAGCCCCATTTTAACCCGCTCTCCCATCTGTGTCAAATGAATGCCTTTACCCGGTTCTC